TTTTTCTTGATTTACTGTGTGGGTCTCTTCACATGAAGCTACAAATCAAAAAATTATGTATGTAAAAATGATTAAAATTGTTCTACAATTGTGACATATATGGAATTAAATAAATACTCAGGAGCTAAAGAGCTAACGATGCCTAGTGCTTAGGTGCATTAAGATGTGTTCAGCCATGTTTGGTGTTTTTTTTATGTTCAAAAGCTCCTCTCCTGAACGCGATTCTTCTGCATTCAGGAGATGGAACTTTGACTGCCTCTAGATGCTGCTGCTCCTAAACTCCTCTAAAAGCTTATGTGTGCAAGGACACAGGCTTTTATCGAGATGTGTTAAGGGACTTGAATGCCAAAAGCCCCTAAAACATCAGTTTAGGAGCAGCAGTGTGAATGAAGCCTAACACTGTTCAACAGGTAAAAAGTTTTGGGCATAAAATTAGCTAATCTTACATAATTTTGGGGTGCTGAAAACGAAAATGACCCTAAAAAATGTTGATTGGCTCTAGTTTCCATGATATATTCACCCATCTAATGATGTAAGCCATTCAAAATTATGATGCAACTTCAGCTGCATATTGCGCAATTGATACTGGTGTGACCAATAGAAAATTGCATGTATACTGAGATGATGCAATATTAGCCTTTAATTGCATCACTTCACTGCATAAAAGCTGCAGTATCTGTAGCTGATTGTAGTTCGACAGCGTCTTTACATTTCGTTTTATGCTTATATAGGCTACTCAGTAATGCCTCGAACTTGTGTGAATAAAGCAGATAATTTCTGCTATATCTGCGGTGAAATAACTTTTATCTCACAAAAAAGGAGGATAACAGGAATGATTAAGAAAGCCTACAACTTGTATTTTGGCTGCAAGATAGGAGACCAGGACAAGAGCTGGGCACCACATATATGCTGCAATTCTTGTGGGAAAGCACTGGAGCAATGGTTGAATGGAAAAAAGGCATCTATGCCTTTCGCTGTGCCAATGATTTGGAGAGAGCCAACAGATCATGTTAGTAATTGTTACTTTTGTATGGTGCCTCCAATTGTAAAAGGGCTAAATAAGAAGAAAAAGTTATCTGTGCACTAACCAAATATTCCATCGGCAATACGTCCAGTTCCTCATGGAGAGGAGCTACCAATTCCTAAAGCACCAGAATCCTTCGTGGTTGAGTCAAGTGAGGAAGAACCTAAAGCGTGTAGTCACATGCAGTTGTAAGAGATAGCCCTTTCCTCGAATACAAGAGAAAAGCCAAAAGAAGCAAAACCGACACAAACTGAAGACAAAACTAGTGAGAATCCTAAGTATTAAAATGATTCAACTTAGCTTATGGCTATAATTTTTCTTGGTAATCCTATGCAATATATTATGCCATTTAGGCTTTGTTATGTAGTCAATATCACTTGCTTTATATTTGTGGAAAGACATCTATCTATATAATTATTGTGCATTATGTAGTCATTACGCCTATAGTAGAAAACTTTCCATTTACAGAAAAACTAGAGCCAATTGACAAATTTCATTGTTATATTTGAACTCAGAATGTGAAATTCATTAAGAAATGGATCCTTTTGTTTCCAAAACTGGCAAAAAATAAAAATTTGTTGAACAGTGTAATTATTGTGGATATTTTCTCTGTCCTAATCAACCCATGATAATCTCAGTTTTTAAACTAAAAGAATTTTCATTTGAACAATTCCTTTTATCCCACATATGTTCATCCACAGATACAGATTTATTTGGATGTAAACCTCAGACACAAAATATGAACAAATCACATCGCTCTATAGTGTGTACTTGTTTCAATCCAGAGCACTAAGTGTCATTTTTGTCTGGTGCCTTGTTCCTCTGCTATCTGTATGAGCCACTTCTGACAAGTTTTCCTGACAACAAGAGGTAAAAGGTGACAGTGGAGGGAGCTCCAGTACACAGCCAGTTACTGACAGTCTCAGCTCTGTTCCTGTGTGCTGTGTGAAGAGGAGTGTGTTCCTTCCCTCCAATCAGTTTTCAGCTTTCCTCACTGAGCTCTGCAAAGTGTAAATTCAGCTCCCCGCTACATGCTCTCTGAAGGCTCAGACAAGTTGTATAAATTCTGTACTTTGAATGGTTGCAGAGAAGAGATGGTTGCATATAAACAGGAACAACTTTTGTAGGAGAATTTGTTTCTTCTCTGTGTATCACCTGAAGCTAGTTCTGACACTGGGTATATGTAAGAGTTTACAACCACTTTAATAGTATGTTGCAGGTGACAACTGATAGCAAGCGGCGTTGAGTTGCCACTGCACTTCTTGCAGAATAGTAGAGATAATCAGAGTCTCTATGCCCCATTCCATGCACTTATAAAGCTTAGATTCAACCAATTGTTGTTGACATACTCTGTATTGTCACTTAGATCCATCTGTCTGTTTGCCAAATTAATTACAGACATCTATATAATGACTGTACCAATAGATATTGTCACAATGAGGGCTTCCACTTTAGGATATAAAGCTTCTTCCAACAACTCATATCAAGATTGGTGAGCTAGAGTAAAAACTCTGCATTTCTTCAGGTAGAAACCTCATCAAACAGAAAGAAGTTGAGTAAAAGCAAAAATTCCACTGCCAACAACTAGCAGCTTCTCAACTCTTTAAAGTAGTCACTATAGGTGACCAAGTGATGTTCAAAGGTGGCAATAGCTTTTTTATCATGTATGGATGATTAAAATGCATGAACACTCAATATCACCCACATGGAACTTGGTTCCCATTTCAGATGCTTTAATTGACACCACCTTTATGTTTCATATAAATAAAGTTAATCTAAATACCAGAGGTTGCAAGGGAAAATCAACCAACTTATTACATATCTCCAGAGGGAAACTGATACCTGCTGCAATAGAATGTCCCTCTGGAGGTCTCTAGGGTGTGTGCACTTTAAGAAAATTGTTAACAACAGGTATTGTGGGGGACTTCACCTGCAGGCATTTCGCCAATTTATGTGAAATAACTCCCAATCTAACCCTATAATACACAAGGCCTGCTAATTGCCCATAGGAAAGGGGAGGGATCTTCTGACAAAATCCATGATTTTGAAATATCACTTAACAACCAAAAAGTTTTGTTTCTGTAATCAGAGACAAAGAAAGCAACTACCAACTAACCCCTGCCCCCCTCCCCCCTTACCCACACTCTTGGATATAATTATTTTCTGTCTAAGAGGGGAAATGGCATTTTTTTCTTCAGTATGTAGCGCTTACCCCTGCAGGAGTTGCTGAAGGGGTTCTCTGTTCTGCCGTGACTCTTAAAGCTGCTCAGTCCCCACTGACACACCAGGTTATAGGTACAAGGCTTCTTACACCTGTTAGCATGCTACTACTCTATAAAACTACACAGAAAATAGACCAAACATCTGGTGATGAGTGAAATGAATGTATTGAAGCAATTTAATAAACAATGTATAAATCAATAAACAGGCAATCAAACAGATTTCAAGATGTACTAGGTAAACGAGCACAGATCCGAAAGGTGGAAATTAAATAAACTGGTAAACCAAAAAATAACTGGTGCAAGTAGGGTTAAAGTATCAGCCTCAACTATCCCAAAAGAGGAAAGTGTCCTTGTGTATATACTATGCATATGGCCGCAATAGCCAGTTGGCCAATGTGTCCATGACAGGTAGGTACCCCTGAAGGTGATTGCAAAGTACCGGGCACCTAGATGTTAGTGTTGGGTGGCTTTGGTTGGGGCCCTTCTGTTAGGTGGTGTACATAGAGCTGTCCCTTTAAGAGTGTGTAATGAAATGGCTCATTGGCTTCTAAGTAAAGAGCAATCTCTCTTTTGTTAACTGTGTGTGTAGTAAAGTATTAAGTGTTATATCTTCCCTCACCACTCTTGGCAGGTGTAAGTTCTGGTCCCATATGCCTGGTGGTCAGCTGTTCCAAACTTCCCAGTTTTCAAGATTGGATCCTCACTGGCATAGTCTCTCAGCTCTGGTGTAGAAACTAATATGGCTGCATGTCTCAAGACACAGTGACTCTCTGTGGCTCAGTCCTCAGGCTCTATGGGTGCTCACAAGGGCTCAGTCTTTCAAAGGCTCCAATAGACACAGCAGCAGGTCTGCATGCTTTAGATCTCAGCCGCAAAAGTTATCTGATTGAAGTGTCCCTCAATGTATCAATCTAGGAATGCAGAGCTAATAACAAGGATTCTTCCTTGCTCATAATAATTTTCATAAGTTCAGTTGAACAAGCCAACACAGTTTTGCTCCATTGCTTTACAAATTGCTTTGAATACACTGTTGTAGGCAATATTGTATCATCTGGACCCTAGAGATCACAGCCTCACCACTATATTTTTTTTAGAATGGTAAAGTCTCCTGAACAGATAAATCACCAAGCTTCCGAAAAAATGTGCAGACTTTGACAAAAGTAGATACCAATGTAGTTTATTCCAGCATAAGTTTACAAAGATATAGTCTCTGGATTTTTCTTGTATGGTAGAAAGACAATACTTTTTATATGCCTGGGATGGGAACTAAATCAAAAATATATCATGGAGTGTCTAACAAAGGGGGTGTGCTAATTGTAGCTGAATAGAAGCATCATTTATGGAAGAACACCACTGCAAAACATAGGTACTTTTAAAGGGATGTTTAGAATTTCTTTGTTTATTTCCTGAAAGAAAGGCAAGTAGAATATTTGGATCACTCCAAGATCGAATAAGTAGGTAGATGAGGCATACAATAGTATGTATAAGCATATAACCAATGACGGTATTAGGGAAAATGAATCATGAACAATATACTGTAATAAATATACAAATAAGATGTCCTTAGAAAGAGTCTTATAGGTAATTCTGATGCACCATGGAGTGGAGGCAACTGGCCAATAACGAGCTAGAGAGGCCCTGTAGAAGATCGAGAAGAAAAGAGGAGGCACCCTCTAAGTGCAGTATAAAAGCTTTTTAATGAATAAAAAGTGTAGTAATACAGGCCACTCACAAAGCATAAGTAGCTTTGCGCTTATAAATTAACCTCCCTGGCGGTATTCCCGAGTGTAGCTCGTGGTAAAGTTTCAGTACCACAAGCGGTAACCCCGAGCTACACTCGGGAATACCATGCGGCACTGCTCCAGGATCTGTTCTTCTCTTACCTTGTCCTGAGCTCCCGCGATGTCCCTCCTGCAGTGTCCCCTGTAATGTCCTCCAGCGGATGCCGGCATCTGTCTTCTGGGTTCCGTCCCCTGCGACGTCGGGACGTACGGGGACGGAACGATGGGAAATTTGAAAATGACAAAAAGTGACATTCACTAAATTCACTAAAATAACATAGTAAAACATTACTATATCAAAGCATTTCACATACATTTTGTCCCTAGTGCTTTGTCCTGTGCCCTGCCTGCATTTTTATTGTTCTTTCTGCCTGGAAACTGAGAAACATCCATGGCGTCCAAAAAGCGTCCCTTTAGGTCAAAAGTGGTTTTAGACCAGCTAGAGAACAGCGATGGTAAATTAGAACCACTTGCAGAATTGAGTGATAATGATTTGTGGGGAAATTCGTCATCAGACACTGAAAACAATTTTGCGACTTTGCTCAGTGATGTGCGAACTTGGAGCTCTATTTCAACTTTCAGTGTTTTTGGTTTGATTATATTATTGAATTACATTTATTATTATTATATTATTATTTTTTATGATTATGTATTAAATTATAATTTATGATTTCGTGTTTCAAATTTTAACATACCTGGGATGTTTACTAGACTCTTGTTCGGACAGATTTCAGTGAGTTATTCCTAAAAATTACAGGCCTACAATAAAAAAATACATATTTCCATGCAAAAAATGTACCGCTTTGAGCACAGAAATATGGACATAATCAGACCGCTAGGGAGGTTAATAAGCATCAGCTGTAGTGTGAAGCCTGTGGGTGGATGGTGGTCACCAACATCTGGCGATGGTGCTGGTGGCTTGCAGCATGTCCTCCTAGTTCTGGGATTCCCTCGGTTGAGACGTCATTTCCAGTCACGTGATTGCAGGGGTTGGCGCGTGTTCGGAGCATGCGTGCTCCCTCACCAGGCTTTATTTATTTGCTGCCTACTACTGTACATTAAACAGAGGAAACACTATTTTTAAATATATTATAAAATATACATCACTAATTATTTTTGGCTGTTTTATACAGAATATTTTAGCCTTTTGTTACACAACTGAATGATGTTACATTTCTCAGTAGGAAAGAAATATTTGAATTAAAATAAAATTAAAAGTTATCAGTTTGATATTACAGTGCTCAAACTAGTTTATTTCCTGAGGTTCTTCAACATGACTAAGTGTTGGAATAGCCATTACCAGAGGGGTTTTATGTTCTCTTTATGAGCTTGTATTTTATTCTTCAAAAGCAATCTTCCTGTCTTATACACAAGAGTGACTGGTTCACATTTTCATACAATGATGAATTAGGTGTCTTTATAAACAATTTATAGTTAATCTCTATTATCAGTTAAGGTAACCTACTGCGATAAGTGCAGCAATGTTGTATTCTTTCTGAACGGAGTAATATTCATTACATCATTTGCTATAGTAACCTTTTATGTATTAATGGCTAAAAAGTAATAAAGCAAAGACGACCTTTTTTTCCCTGACACACATAGAGAGAAGCTATAAAGCATCTGACAATTTTCCTCAATTACCTCTCTCAAAGACAAAAAGAGCTTTATGCTACACAGGTGTAAAAATATAGAGCTGGTAAGATTTATCATATTATATATATTATATGATGTCAATGAAGCAAGTCTGCGGATTATTGCCTTTCCAGCTATGCAGGATCATATCCTGAAAGTGTGTATTTATTGCCCAACAATGACAAAGTGGTTATGAACCACTCTTGCCATTTTTTAGAGAAAGTGAGATTTTTTTTTTTTGCCAACTGAACGGTATAGTTTTCTTTATTATTTTTTTTTCTTACTTCTAAACTTAAAGACACAGTGTATATAATAAACAACACTTTTATTACTATAACAAGACAGTACACTGAATAGCATTAGTAAAAACAAATTGGTTTTAGGATTGAGAACCATTCTCTTTGGTGCAGTGAATTAGTGATTTTGCGCTGATTCTACCAAAAGGGTGGTTCGGTGAAGGTAAATATGGATTTGCATAGGTAAACTGAAGACTGTCATACATGGCTTTAATTTTAGTTGATTGAGGCTGAATTGGCTGAAATTCAAGCTATGGGTGCACCTGTTGGCTTGACAAAAGTCAATTGTTCAATCAACCTTTGTTGAAGAAGCAAGGTAAAAAATTGTCAGCCAAACAGTACCGATAAGATGCAGGCACTGTTTGGATATTCTGACAGCTGGGGGCGCTATTTCCCCTCACTTTAGGGAAATATAGGATAAGTTCACCTTTCATAACATGTTACACCCATATTGAGGGTGCAACATATAACGAAAGGACTGGCTCCCGCTCCCCCAGCTCCCCCGTTGTGACAGCTAGTTGGCAAACTTCTACCTCCCAGTTGTCATAATTTAACCTCCCTGGTGGTATTCCCAAGTGTAGCTCGGGGTAAAGTTTCAGTACCACAAGCGGTAACCCCGAGCTACACTCGGGAATACCATGCTGTGCAGCTTCACGATCCCTCAGTCATTTACTTTGTCCTGTGCTCCTGCGATGTCCCTCCTGCAGTGTCCCCGGCAATGTAATCCGGCGGATGCCGGCATCTGTCATCTGGGTTCCGTCCTCTGCTAGCGTCGGGACGTACGGGGGACGGAACAGCGGGAAATTTGAAAATGACAAAAAGTGACATTCACAAAAATCACTAAAATCACATAGTAAAACATTACTGAACCAAACCATTTCACATACATTTTGTCCCTAGTGCTTTTTCCTGTGCCCTGCCTGCATTTTTACTGTTCTTTCTACCTGGAAACTGAGAAATGTCCATGTCGTCCAAAAAGCGTCCCTTTAGGTCAAAAGTGATTTTAGACCAGCTAGAGAACAGCGATAGTAAATTAGAACTACTTGCAGAACTGAGTGATAATGATCCGTGGGGAAATTTGTCATCAGACACTGAAAACGATTTTGCGACTTTGCTCTGTGATGTGTGAACTTGGAGCTATATTTCAACTTTCAGTGTTTTTGGTTTGATTATATTATTGAATTAAATTTATTATTATTATATAATTTTTTATGGTTATTTATTAACCTCCCCAGCGGTATTCCCGAGTGTAGCTCGGGGTAAAATGTCAGTACCAAAAGCGGTAACCCCGAGCTACACACGGGCTTACCATGCGGCGCTGCATAGGGAGTCCCTGCAGAGCTTACCTTGCCCTTCGCTCCCGCGATGTGTCCCCTGCAGTGTCCCCGGCCATCTCCTCTGGCCGATGCCGGCATCCGGCTTCTGTGTTCCGGTCCCTGTGATGTCGGGACGTACGGGCGCCGCCGCCGGCGGTGGGAAATTTTAAAATTTTAAAAAATTTAATTTATTTTCATAATAAAACATTTCTGTTTCAGCCCATTTCACATACATATTGTCCCTAGTGCTTTGTCCTGTGCCCTGCCTGCATTTTGACAGTTCTTTCTGCCTGGAAACTGAGAAACGTCCATGGCGTCCAAAAAAGTGTCCCTTTAGGTCAAAAGCGGGTTTAGATCAGCTAGAGAACAGCGATAATAAATCAGAACCACTTGCAGAATTGAGTGATAATGATTCGTGGGGAAATTTGTCATCAGACACTGAAAACGATTTTGCGACTTTGCTCAGCAATGTACGAACTTGGCGCTATATTTCAAATTTCAGTGTTTTCGGTTTGATTATATTATTGAATTAAATGTATTATTATTATATTATTATTTTTTATGATTATTTATTAAATTATAATTTATGATTTCTTTTTTCAAATTTTATCATACCCGGGATGTTTAATAGACTCTTGTTCGGGCAGATTTCAGTGAGTTATTTCTAAAAATTACAGCCTACAATAAAAAAACTACATATTTCCATGCAAAATAATGGTACCGCTTTTAGCACCAAAAATCTGAAATAATCATACCGCCAGGGATGTTAAAAAAAAAATGTGGCTGTATAGGGCTCCACCCACCCACCCAGCTGTATCACTCCTTCACAGTATTCTGTGAATGAGAAAACTACAAGTTCTGGCAACCTTTGCATCTGTCAGCTTGTAGTTCTCAACAAACTGAGTAAATGGATACAAAACATGACATGCTTTAAAATGCCACGACACCAGATTACATAAATTTGTAATATCCATAGGCAACATTTTAAAAGCCTTTACAGGTCACCACTTTAAATTTACACAGGAGGTCTAGTGTTAGAATTACTGACCTTGATCTGATGTTCACAGTGATACCTCACATGCATGGTGCAATCTCTGTTTACATACCGTCATGGGATTGCTGCTGGCATTTGCCTTTGCACGCGAGCACGGGGTTGGGGGTGAATTTTTTTTTTAATTATTTATTTTGCTTTTTTTCAAATTATTTTTACACTTTTATACCTTTTATTTTTTTCAATCACTTTGTTGTTATCACAGGAATGTAAATATCCTCTGTGATAGCAATAGGCAGTGACAGGTACTCTTTTCAGAGAAATCTGGAGTCTATTAGACTCTAGATCTCTCCCCTGCCCTTAAAGCATCTGATCACACCAAGATCGGTGTGGTCAGATTCTTTCCCAATTTTAAAATGGCGCTGTTTATTTCTGCCGAAACGCAAATGATGAAATGCTTGTAGCTTCCGGTCTCTTAGACCATAGAGATTATTAGAGGCATTCCAGTCTCGATCAGCTCTATTGTCAGCCAGCGGAACTACATATTCGGGTTCCTGGGTGGTACGGGAGAGCCCAAGAAAACCTTGGTGGCGGGAGGGCTGGGGGAGTCCCTTCCTTGCTTGTAAAAGCGATCCAGCAGCTAAAAAAAAAAAATTATACCAGGAAGATGCTTGTAGCTGCAGGCATCATCCCGGTATAACCACTCAAAATCCAGTGATGTACCAGTATGTTGCTGGTCCTTATTGGGCATCAATGTAACAGCAGAGAACATGGGCATATGATAATTTAGGTCTGTGGACCAATATGACCATAATTCATTCTTTTTTGTAATGCCCATGTTGAGGGTTCACCCCAAAAAAGTTTTAAATTCGGAAATGGTGTCTATACAAATTGTCTGCCAAGAGCTGAATTTGGATGGGGGTGATGTATTGTTGTGCATATAAATTGCTTTGGCCCACAATCAATTGATACAAATCTTCTGTGAAAAACAGTGGAAGGGCCAAACACTAGTGCTGAAAGCGAATGGGGCTGATCTTGCTAACACTGCATTTTTGGGGATACTATACAAAGGAGACACGAGTATAGTTCTGTTCGTGGTCATTATATTGATCTGTACAAACACTATAATATTAATGGCAGTGATCAGCGATCTATCGCATGAGTGCGATAGTGTGCAGGCAATGTAACGCTAGCTGACCCTGGCTGGGAGGGACGCTAACTGACCCTGACACCATATGATGTCACTAGTGGCAGTAATACAGTGATCAGTGAAAATTTCTATATACTGACACTATACTAATGGCAATGGCTGGGTGACAGGGTGATCAAAGTGTAATAGGGCGAACAAAGCATTAAATGTGCTAATCTAATGTGTGTGTAAAACTCCGTGCCGTGTTTGTTCTTCTCTCCCTGGATGGCATAGGGGGCAGCAGGGGGCACATGCATGCGCAAGCACACCCAGATATAGAAAGCATCATAAGATTACGTTGCATTGCCCAGAGGGGTGGGTGGAAGGAAGGGATGGATGGAAGGAAGGGAGGGGTAGGTGGAAGGAAGGGGTGGAAGGAAGGAAGGGCTGGGTGTAAGGCAGGAAGGACGGAAAGAAGGAGTGGGTGGAAGGAAGGAAGAAAGGAAAGAAGATGTGAGTGGAAGGAAGGAAAGGAAGGGTGAGTGGAAGGAAGGAAGTAAGGGGTGAGTGGAAGAAAGCAAGGAAGGAAGGGGTGGGTGGAAGGAAGGAAGGGGTGGGTGGAAGGAAGGAAGGGGTGGGTGGAAGGAAGGGTGGGTGAAAGGAAGGGAGGGTGGAAGGGAGGGAGGGGTGGAAAGAAGGAAGGGGTGGATGGAAGGAAGGATAGGAGAGGTGAGTGGAAGGAAGGAAGGGGTGGAAGGAAGGAAGGGAGGGGGGGTGGAAGGATGGAAGGGAGGGGGGTAGAAGGATGGAAGTAAGGGGGGGTGGAAGGATGGAAGGAAGGAAGGTTAGGTCAAACTCACCATGACTCCTTTAGAAGCATCAGAGCTGTGACTGTCGGCTGCTGTGTTCAGTTTCCCACCCACACCTCCTCTGAAGCTGCACAGACTGGAGTGTGAGAGGGTACAGGGGGGAGGCAGAGCAGATCCAGCCTCTCTCCCCTCTTCTTCTATTGGTGCGGAGGATGGAGGGAGGGGCTGGGCTGCTGGGCAGTGAGAAGAACACAGCAACTGGAACACAGCGGCAGTGGGAGGGGGCAAAAAAAAAAACGTTTTGTGCAGAGGTGGAGGCGGTGATCAGAGCTGGGGAGGGGCAGCAGCAGTTGTGGTGACAGGCAGCGATCTCCTGTATGACTTTCAATGAAGCAGCTGGAAAACTGATTTCTCCTCCTCTCCCTCCCGTGGCTTCCAGCTGCTTTATTAAAAGCCATAGAAGAGATCGCTGCCTGTCACCACAACCACCACCACCACCCCTCCCACACACCCCTAGCCCCGGCGCTGCTCGCCGCCTCCACCGCTGCACAGAACAGTTTTCTTTCTGCCTCCCCTCCCTTCCACCGCCGCTTTGTTCCCGCCGATGTATTCTTCATACTGCCCAGCCTAAATTTCGAGGGCTGCAGCCTGCAGCCAGGGATGGTTGGCAACTCTCCTCTGGGGGGGGTTCAGACCCCCCTGACCCCCCTTATCTATGGCCCTGGTTGGCGGGCGGGCGGCAAGTAGTTAAAAAAAAATTCTCTCAATAATTTTTTTTAAACATTTTTTTAAAACATTCTTTTTTTACTATTTTTAAAAATACTTTCATCAGAGTTCTGCAATGTTACCATAGTAACATTGTACTATTCTGGGGGGGGGTTGATCAGGGTTTTTTTTTTTTTTTTTTACACTTTGCAATGCAGGAGCAATGAAGATCATTGGTCTGCAATGCAAAGCTTGCATTGAGCTGTCATAACTGTTACTGGCTTTGTTGTCATTGTCATCATGTGATTAGTGGGTCCCAATTACCGGGATTCTCATTCTGCTGTGTCCGGTGGACACAGCAGACTTGGGGGGAGCAGCGCCCCCTGTATTGACAAAAGACCAGTGACATATGGGCATGTTGATTGTCCTGTAGCTGCCGCCCGTCCACAATACATTGAGGGTGGGAGGCCCAAAAGTGGTTAACACCTTCCAGCCCAGCCTATAGAATTACAACCCAAACATATTCTCCTACTCTTTCCAAATATGACAATACCATATGTGTGAGACTCTTTGGCAGCCTAACCACTTAGAGAGGCCTAAAATCCAAGGAGCACCATCAGGTTTTCTAGGGGCAAAAATTATGCATCTAATTTCCTGACTACCTATCACATTTTTGAAGACCTTGGAGCAATGGAAACAACCACAAAAATGACCATATTTTTACTCTAAGTTATCTTTAAGAGGCATGGTGAGTCTTTTGACACACCTTCAGGAATTCCAGAGGCATAAATGAAGCATCTAATTTCCTACTCTACATCTAACTACCTATCACATTTTGGAGGTCCTGGAAAACCAGGACAGTGGAAATAGCCACAAAATGAAAGCAATTGCCCCACAGTATTTTCTAAGAGGCACTGTGAGTGTTTTTTGCCACAAGTTTTTGGAAAATGAGGAATGAAATATGTGGCAGACCCAACAGGGACAGTGGCTTTTGGAGGGGACAGGGGCTAGCCTTCTACCCACTGATTAAGGCCCATGGAGAGAGCAGATCATTCTCTAATGATGGACAACAACATGATGAATGCTGAGGGCTAGGCTTGGATTAATTCTCTACATAAAGACAATAAATCTTCCCTTCTGGAGTGGATGGAAAGGTGTAATATTAATCTTGTACATATTAATGGTAAGAGGAAATATGGTGGAACTCATGCAGACTGGGTTGTAGAAGCTCCTTTATTTGGGACAGAAATATTTATTAACAATCTCTCTCAAGTAATCTGTGAAGATAAATGAATTCTACTTGTTCCGACTGTTGGAATATTGAGTTTTGTCTCCTGATGGACAGATTGTACAAGTGGGGGCCAGACACCTTAAAGACAGCATGTGTAATATACTTTGTGTATTCCAATGTAGGTTCCTGACTGTCTGGGTGGGCTCCTCGATTATTCAGCTCAAAACAACCTGATTCTGAGGACTCCTGCTGTGATGTGTTTACCATTGTGTACTTGTCCCATTGTTAATTGAGTCCCCTATTGTCTCTGTCCTCCTGGAGGCTCCTACATGGTGGGATTAGTTTGGTGTCAACTTCACCTAGTTATCTA